AAGCCGACATCACAGGATGGTTAAGTTCTCCATTGGGAAGGTAATCTACTCTCTGCAGGTGATAATCAAATAAGTCAAGTAAATTATTATTTATAATCTTTTGGAAGGAGCAATTGAATAATAGGGCAATAGCATTTAAGGATAAGCTAGAATAATTTCAACTACTTTAATAAATAAAAATTTATAACATAAAGTGATGCTACTCTTGATTCTTTATTCATATTTATGCCATTCAAAATGGGTCAGAACATACTAGCTGTAAGTGTAACTTTTTGATAAGAACATTTTTTTTGAAAGTAGAATCTACTAAGGGAAGACTATATTGACAAATAATGTCATAGTAATTCTCACCCTTTTATTCTTTAGACCTAACAACTGATTTGGTTAACCTTTCCCCTAGGCTAGTAGTTGGCAAACTCATTAGTCAACAGAGCCAAATATCAACAGTACAACTATTGAAATTTCTTTTGAGAGCCAAATTTTTAAAACTTAAACTATATAGGTAGGTACATTGTTATTAACTTAATTAGGGTACTCCTAAGGCTTAGGAAGAGCCACACTCAAGGGGCCAAAGAGCCACATGTGGCTCGTGAGCCGCATTTTGCCGACCACGGCCCTAGGCCCTTTTTTATCCCTTTGTTTAAGCTGCTTGCATAACTTCCAGGGTGGAAAGCCAGCTGAGAAATGCAATAAATTAGTGCCTTGTACATGACTCCACATCCTTGCTTTTGGTCATACACTGTCTTTGCTAGATAATGATTGATTAGAATACTCACCCTGGTGGAATAAAGTAGAGATTGTTGCTCTCTTATGACAAAGGCATATATGAAAGTTAGTCACAAAATTATATACTGAATTATAGACAGATCTGCATTTGAACCCAGAATCTCTGCCACATCACTGGAGTGGCTCTAGAATATGCCCCAAGTTGGTCTTCTGGGTATGGGCTGCTTTTTCTAAGAAAGCATTTTTATTAGTTTCTGCCTATGAGCTTCAAAGGAGAACTCAACTGTTCTACATAATTTTGGGGGGAGTAGTGACTCTTCTCAGCCAGGATTCAGCTACTCACAGTGTGCAGTCTCTTTCACAAGCCAGTACTTACTCCAGACTCTCCAACGGCCTTCCCACAGACCAGAGCTCTCCCATAGAGATGCTTCTCAGCTTTCTCATTCCATTGACTCAGATTTTCTGCTCTAAGATTGTCCTTCTTGGGTGAACAACAAAGCAGTAGAGCTGACCTAGGACCCGAGTCTGATGTGGAACATGAGGGCCCTTGACAGGTAGTTCTCTTTCCTCTCTGTGCTTTCTGCTGCTATCCCATGGAATCAGCAATTCCCTTATCATTTTTTTCCTCTCAGACTTATAAACTCCACATGTAGAGTTAAGGCTATAAGTCATGGAGAGTGAACATGGAGTTAACAATGTTCGATCATTTTTGTGCAGTGCCTGAGGTTTTCAATAGTGTTTCTGTGGAGAAGACAGGTTATCTGGGTTAAGGGATGGAAATGTACATTCCCTAAAGGAAGAGTATCATACTTTCCCTTTTTGCCCAGCATTCTTTCCCCTCTTCCCTGATTTTAAATATTTCCTCCCTCCCTACCCTCTATGGGCTAGAACGCGTGTGAGCATAGTGCATATTAGACGATGAAATTGTCATCTTTTTCAAGCATTCTAGCTAGGGTGATCACACAATGAACTTCAGACTCAATTTATCTTTTCCCCAAAATATAATCTAAATTGTGGGAACTTGGCATGGCTTTTGTTTCAGGAAATATGGTTATTAGAATTATATTCTCACATTGATGGAGCTCCTCTTTCATCTGCGAGTATGGGTTTCATCCAGCTTCGGTCCCCACTGGCTCTGTGGGGCCTCAATTACTGCACTCATAATGTAGAAATAGTTATGTCCATTAGTACAATGGTGTTGCTCAAGCCTAAATGGATGAAAGATATAATGGGCTGAGATCTTGCTAAGAAATAGCTTCAGGGATATTTAGATTCTGTTTTCTCATGTTGGGGTATCTAAAACTACAGCATAGAACAGCAATGCTGGAGCAGGGTGAGGTTCAGGTCCAGCCTCCTTTGTGCAGGGATTGCATATGGAGGTGGTCTTTCTATTCTTCTGGAGTTTCCCTGAAAGACAGGTCGAGCAGTGAGTCTTCTCGGAAGGAAGCTCAGCAATCATGGATCTCTTGACTGGGAGCCCCCAGTGAGTCAGGCTATTCTTCACAGAACACATCTTGCCTTCCAGCATCTTGGAGCCCCTGTGAGTCCTACTTCTCTCTGGGAGGGGCAGAGATAACTGGGGTACGGGAAACAACTCACCTTGAGCTCTGTTTTATCTCTGACCAAGCTTCGCATGACCATGAGCAGCTCTAACTGGCTCCTGGGATTCAGTCATTAGCAGAGACCTCAGATGAGGGCCTATTTAAAGGTCTATTGAAGTCTGGCCTTTCCCTTCCCCAAGCATTAGTTCTCCTCCTCCTGAGCCCCACTGCCTCATGCATTGGCTTCCTCTGAGACTAGAGACTAAAGCTGGAAGCATTAACCCCTAACTTTCCCCTCTCCTCTGTGTACACAAGTACAAAAGCAGGGGATTTAATGCATGTGGCAGAGGGTGCGTTGTTGAGATTACACAAATGTGAGTTTATCTGTATGAAGGTAATTGTTGTTAGTCAGAGTATGTACACTTATAAGTGAAGGAATATTTTGTTCAATGTGAAAGTGTATTGATATGTCATGTGGCCTTGTGTTTATGGAAGAATAGATCAATACATTATTGAAAGAATGATAGAGATCAGAAATAACTCCAAACATAATTAACTGATTTTCAGCAGAGATATGAATGCAATTCAGTGATGGAAAAATGTCTTTATGGTACTAGAAGAACTGGATATCTGCATGAAAAAACAAAATGAACCTAAACTTCTATTACTTTAATATTAAAAAATCTTAATTTGAAATGTAATATAAACCTACTTTTAAAAGTTAAAACTGTAAGGATTCTAAAAGAAGAAAAATATGATAATATTATCATAAGCTTGAGGAAAGCAAACATTTCTTAGGAGGACATAAAAGACATTAGCCATAAAAGAAAAAAAATAACATTAAAGTTCATTTTAAAGAGTCTACTTCAAATGATTCCATTATAAATATGAAAAGGTAAGCCACAGATAGAGAAAATAGTTATAATGCTGTACCTGAAAAAATAAAAACTTACAATGATAGAAAGATGAACAAGTCACTAAATTTTTAAGCAAATGATTTAAACAGTTACTACTTCACAAGGGAGGTAAAGGAATGGATTTACATATATATATGCATATGAAGAGGTGCTCACCATTATTATTATAGGGAAATGAAAAGAATCAAACCACAATGAGAACCAATGCAAACTCATTAGAACAACTAAAATTAAATACAATGATAACACTAAGTTTTGGCAAAAATGTGGGGCAATGGGAGCACCCATGCGCTGAGTAGAGCCATATCAGGAACATTTCTGGCAATTTCTTTAAACTTATTAAAGTCAAACATCTTTTTGTCCAAGGAATTTCACTTGTAGTTGCATACCCCAAATAAATGGCTTATATATACACAAAAAATGTTAAAGAATGTTTACAATAGCTGTATTCATAGCAGGTAAAATGTGGAAACAACTGAAATATCTGTCAATCAATTAAACAAATTTTGCTACATTTAGTCAATAGAATACTACTAAGCAAATAAGGAAAAGGAAGAAAGAACTGGGGGGCGGGGAGTATATCTTTTATAATAAAAGCCTAATATGCAAATCAACTGAACAGCAGAATGACCGGTGGAACGCCCAGTCGCTATGACTCTCGCTGACCACCAGGGGGAAGATGCTCAATGCAGGAGCTACCCCTAGCCTGCAGGCCCCAGGCCAGCCAAAGCAGGTGCCAGCAGGAGGGCCCCAAGCACCCTGCCTGTTGCCCCACAGATTGGCCCGATCACCGGCCAGGCCTAGGGACCCTACCCATGTATGAGTTTCCTGCATTGGGCCTCTAGTATAGAAATAATACTGTGGAATTCAAAACACCAAGGATAAAGAGTAGAGTCTAATGCTTTAAAATAGGGAGATGACCTACAAAGGAAGGCCAGTAAGTTTAGTTTTTGTCTGACAGGCCTAGTAGTGAATAGGTGAGATTTCTTTAATAGTTTCTACATGCCAGACTGTATTCTAAAGGTCTTTAAATTACATAATGACTTATTCTCTACAACAACTTCATGAACTTGGTCTCAACATCCTCATTTTACAGGTAGAGAAACTAAGGCACAGAGAGATTAAGTTTTCACAGTGTAGATACATACCCCGGTACTTTATCGCTAGTCTTATTCCCTATGTTAAACTAAACCTTAAAATGTTCAGAGGAAGCCCTGGCCAGTAGCTCAGTTGGTGGGAGCGTGGTCCTGTACACCAAAGATTGTGGGTTCAATCCCCAGTCAGGTGTGTACAAGAGGCAACCAATCAATCATTATCTCTCACATTGATGTTTCTCTCTCTTTCCCTTCCTCTCTCTAAAATCAATAAACAAGTGTGGCTCAGTGGTTGAGCATCAATTTATGAATCATGAGGTCACGATTTGGTTTCAGGTCAGGGCACATGCTTGGTTGTGGGCTCTCCAGTGGGGTGTGTGCAGGAGGCAGTACACCAATGATTCTCTATCCCTTGATGTTTCTATCTCTCTCTTCCTCACCCTTCCTTTCTGAAATCAATAAGAACATTTAAAAAATCAATAAATACCTTTCTCGTTTTCTCTCTTCCTAAGATCAATAAACATATCCTCAGGTGAGAATTAAAAAACATGTTCAGAGAAAATTATTTAAAAATCTAACAATTCTATATAAAGCCAATCTATCAATAAAGTATAGAGTCTAAGAAAATATATTTTTTTGAGACAAGCAGGAACACAGAAAATTTATCATTTTCTGCATCCATTTTTTTCCCTGAATAAAATTGGATTATGTGCTTCAGCAAAATGGAACAGATATCCAGTAAAGTTCAACTATTGCTAACCAAGTATGAATGGAAACTACTCAAGAGTGCCATGTAAAGTAATTCAGAACTCAGAACTCAGAAATTCAGAACTCAGGCTCCATCCCAGACATAATGAATTAGAATTTTCATTTTAATAAGGTCTTGAGGTTATTTGTAGAGTCACCAAATTTTGCAAACGTTTAACTACCATCCCGAGTAAATATCATGAGTGGGATGATGAAGAAAGCCTCTCTATATCCTGCTAGCAGGCAAAATGGAAGATAATTTGAAATTCAGAGAAAACAGAAAGTGGTCTTAGAAATCCACTATTCATTATAAATGAAATGAAAAAGTGATATAATTGAATCATGTACAAGGAAAGAACCTATTTTATTTTGATGAATAGATGCTTCCTTAAATAGAGATATGGGCTTAGTGATTTACGATGATATACGTACATTCCTTTTTTAGTTACAGGAGAAAATGTCAAAGTCAGTCAAGCCAAGGAAGTGGAGTAAATTGTGATTCTGTGTTACTCAAGTTTGGCATTTATTATATACTAGAGGCCTGATGCATGAAATTTGTGCAAGAGTAGGCCCTCCTTCCCCCAGCTGCTGGCACTGGCTTCCCTCTGGCACCCGGGACCCGGGCTTCCCTCTGGCCGCCTGCAGACACCCGAGATCCGGGCTTCCCTCACAGCCTTAGCTTTGCCTGGAAGGTCGTCCGGAAGGTGTCTGGTCTAATTAGCATTTACACTTTTATTATTATAGATTGTATTATTGTTTCACTCAGATTTTAAATTTGCCTAATTTCTATAGCCCTATTTTCTAGAAAATAATCTTTTTGAGTTCTTTCGTTGGCAGCAGCTCCATCTTTTTACAGGGTCCTCACAGTCTGAGTAAATAGCAGTAAGTTATGAGTGGGATGATGAAGAAAGCCTGTCTTTATCCTGCTAGCAGGCAAAATGGAAGATAATTTGGATTTCAGAGAAAACAGAAAGTGGTCTTAGAAAACCATGATCCATTATCAATGAAAAGAAAAGTTGAAATAATTGAATCATGTACAAGGAAAAAAATCAATTTTATTTTGATGAATAGATGCTTCCTTTAATAGAGATATATGCTTAGTGATTTAGGGTGATATATGTATTGTGTAATGTTTGTTTAAGCCTATTTCAATAAAAATTTATTTGCTTTACAGTTCAAACAACTGAAATACAAATATATAATATTTAAATATAGCTCTAAGGCTGTATATGAATTTATATATCTTTTCCAGGAAAATATTATGCTCTTGGTGACTAAATTTGGGAATGGAAAAAGAAGAGGAGGAAAGCATAAGGACATTTCTTGCCTGTACCCTACACAGTAGTAAATAAAAACCTAAAGTTAATGGATAAAAAAAGAATGTTTATATTCATTAAAAATATCCTATATAATAAAAGCCTAATAAGCAAATCGACTGGAGGCTGAATGACTGGCGGAACAACCAGTCGCTATGACACGCACTGACCACCAGGGGGCAGACGCTCAATGCAAAAGCTGCCCCCAGCCCGCACGCAGGTCCCAGGCCAGCCAAGGCAGGTGCTAGCAGGCCCCCCTCCCCCTGCCCCGATCACCCTGCTGGTTGCCCTACAGATTGGCCCTGATTGCCAGCCAGGCCAAGGGACCCTACCCATGCACAAATTTTATGCACTGGGCCTCTAGTAAAGATAATAAAACAATTAAAAGTGAGATGGTAAACATATTATGTAGAGCTGCTTTAAACTGGTGTGGTAAACCTCCAGGGAAATTCTAGTTCTCACACTAGGATCATGCTGCTCATCTGATTATAATATCTCCAAACCCCAAGGGTCTCTTGGTAGCAGGACTGGGTGAATTCTGGGCTCCCTACAGAAAACCAGGTCCAGGAGCCACCCACATATGTACTTGGCTGGCAGATCGTGGAAAGGAGCTCTTCCTTTGTCGGGAGCCAGGTATGATGCCTGGGCCAGAAACAGCAGACCAAGAAGAGGGAATGGTGAGAGCTAACCTGGAGGGCAAGGCATGGGGAGAGGGAGACAGGTACTTAGTAGCAGAGGACTGTACATCAGAGGTAGAAGCGGAGAGATATTGGCCAGAGGGATTCACAGTGACAGGCTGAAGCTGAAGGTTATGATAATTAGTGAAAAATCACTAAGAAGCTTGCAAACAAACATTTCTTTCCAGGAGAAAATGTCAAAAGTTAGTCAAGTCAAGGAAGTAGAGTAAATTTTTATGATTCTGTGTTAACCAAATTTGACATTTATATATTTTATTGTTGTATCACTCAGCTTTTAAATTTGGCTGATTTCTATATCCCTATTTTCTAGAATTATAAACTTTTTCAGTTCTTTCACTTGGCATCAGCTCCACCTTCGGCAGGATCCTCACAGTCTGAACTCTCTGATAGCTTTCTTATTAGAACCCATTTATATTTAGAAATAAGGACTTCAAATGCATCCTTGCATTTGACCATTACAGAAACAGCTGAAATAGGCAGATCAGAGATATTTTTTAAAGTTCAAGGTTTACAGATGAGGAATCTTAGATGGGAGTGGGCTCACAAGGCCCTACCTCCTGTCAGTGTTGGGTGTGAGGACTGTGACTTTCATCTGCTGGACCAGAATAATACATCTTGGTGGCCACCATGTCCTTCATGCCCTAAACCTCTGGACCCAGAAATCTATTTGATATTTTTGTTTCCTGTTCCCAACTCCCTTCCTTCTATCAAACCACATACTGTCCTCAAACAAAAACAGACACAATCTATTTAAAGCAAATGTAACAGCATTGTTTGATCTTGGTCTTCTAATGCATGTACATAGCATGCTGCACTTCTGATTTTGTTACAGATATCCTTTGCAATCAGTAAGTATTTAAGTTTGATGTGGTATTCTGTATCAATCGTTTACTTAATGGCTTTAATTTCATCTTATTTCTAAAGGGATTCCCTAAAAGAGTCATAAATGCATTTTCTCTATTCTAATATTATTATAGGGGTTTTGTTTTGCCTTGAAATTCTTAATCTAAATGCAGGAATGTGGAAAATAGGGATCTTTACAGTTTTATAATTTATTATCCAATTGATTAATCATCATTTTATCACATCAGTTCTTTTTCTAGTGTCATCATCATCATATTCTTTATCCTTATTTATACCTTGTTTTGAAATTATTCTGGGGTTATTGGTGGCTTTTCCTGTCATTGTAATTTTTCTCTGCTGAATATAATTTCTTGAACTGGTTTGGTGATTGAGATTTTCCTATAAAATTATCAATTTTGTATCTCTTGCAAATAAAGTATTATACTTATGCATCTATTCCATTATATTTATCTTTAAAAAATTTATTATACAGTTAACCATGCTTTTTCTACCTTTCTTGACCATTCTGGGAAAAAAGTGCACATATTTTCTTTTTAAGTAATTAACTGATTTTTATTGTTAACTCATTTATATGTGCTTTTTATTTTTGTTATTTGCCTCTTTTAACATTTATTTAAATATTTCCTAGCATCTTATATTGAAAGCTTACAAAAATAATATTTTGCATCTTTGTTTTCTAATAAATGTCTATCCTTTATGCTATCCATTGCACTCCAATATGTTGCCTCACAAGTTATGATATGTGGTTTTGTCATTTTTATATAGTTTAAAAGATTGTTTTTCTCATTTATATTTTATGGCATAGAGAAGATTTTTAATAAATGGGTGTTGTTGTTGCTTTGAAGCCCTTGTTATTTTATATTTATAATAAATTAATATTATTTGTAGGTTAATTTAATAGTCCAGGTTATACAGTGTAATACCTGAATGAGATTATTTTGTGTTTAAATAAGAATAGGTAGAATAAGAAAGAGAGATATTAGAAAAGACTTGATAATTAATTGGAGTGGTGACCAGTAGAAACATCTGAGTACAAAACTCCCAGAGCCTTGACTTAGATAATTGGTTAATTTTTGTGAAAATTATAAACTTTGCATAGAATATATAGGAGTAAGAACAATTATAGGGGAAAGTGACCAATTTGATTTTGAATAGAATGAATTTGATTTATCCATGAGAAATCCCTATGACAATATCCAGAATGAAGTTCTATCTTTAGAAACCTGGAAACCAGAGATAGCTTTCAGATAATTTTTTTATTTTGTTATTAAATAAGTAAAAGATGAAACTGTGAAAATGGGAAATATAATTATTTAAATGTCTTGAGAATGGACAAGTGGCAGATCCTTAAAGGATTTCATATTTAAGATTTTTGGGGGCAAAATTAAATCAGAAAAAGAAATTTATGGATGGAGCTATACTTATTTTTTTAGGGTGGTTCTTTGGACTACTCTATTACCACATATGTAAACATGTATGTCTTGGGATGTCTTTGGCATTTTTCTGGACATACCCTGGGAAAAATCTAATAATATCTACATTATAAATGTGACTTGATTTTTTGGTGCTTTATTACAGGATTAATAATTTATTTAAAAAAAATACTGGAAACCAGATTTTTCATCATATTGTTTAGGTAATCTACTGGGGACTTTTATAGTCAGGGATGATTTAATTGTGATGTTTGATTTCACCAAAAAGAATTACAGACTTAAGATTTTAAGTAGTATAATATGGGAATTCTCTCTTCTCAACAAGTGAGTCTCAGAGTACCACTATGATGTTCTAAGTGATAAGCTATATATTCATTATATCATGTTCAATTATTCAAATATCCCTGTCTTCTCAGTCCCTCATTATGTTGGTCAACAATACCAGTGCTCAGCTTCTGACCTTCCTCCTGACGGGTATCCCAGGCTTGAGAGCAGTCCAGGCCTGGATCTCCATCCCTTTTTGTCTCCTGTATGTCATCGCCCTGTCTGGGAACAGCATGATCCTCTTTGTGGTCCTCTGTGAGCAGAGCCTCCACGAGACCATGTATTATTTTCTCTCTATGCTGTCAGCCACAGACCTGAGCTTGTCCCTCTGCACACTTTCCACTACCCTTGGTGTCTTCTGGTTTGAAGCTCGAGAGATCAACTTAAATGCTTGCATTGCTCAGATGTTCTTTCCCCATACATTTACTTTCATGGAGTCTGGGGTTCTGCTGGCCATGGCCTTTGATCGTTTTGTAGCCATCTGTGACCCACTGAGATACACCATCATCCTCACCAATGCCAGGATTGCCCAGATCGGGGTGAGCATGTTGATAAGGAATGTTGCTGTCATGTTGCCCGTTGTGCTTTTTGTCAGGAGGTTGTCCTTTTGCAGTTCTGTGGTCCTTTCACATTCTTACTGCTACCATGTTGATCTCATCCAGCTCTCATGCACAGACAACAGAATCAACAGCATCCTTGGCCTGTTTGCACTCTTCTCCACGACAGGATTTGACTGCCCTTGCATCTTGCTTTCCTATGTCCTGATCATCCGGTCTGTCCTCAACATGACTTCCTGAGAGGGGCGGTGGAAAGCCTTCAACACCTGCATATCCCACATCAGTGCTGTTGCCATCTTCTACATTCCTCTCATCAGCTTGTCACTTGTTCATCGCTATGGACATTCAGCACCTCCATTTGTCCACACCATCATGGCTAATATCTTCCTGCTCATCCCTCCAGTGCTCAACCCTATCATCTACAGTGTGAAGACTAAGCAGATTAGAAAGGCTATTGTTAAAGTCTTAATTCAGAAGCAGCTGCAAATCTAATCACTAGTTGTCTCCGAGTAAAAATAAAGCAATTTCTGAATGAGTGCTTTGATAGAATGGGGTAATTGTTCCCAAAATGCCTAGATATGCTTCCAATAGTTCAAATTATGCAACTTATTGATTATATGATATTTGCTTAGTTTTCTTCCAGTAAATTCATGTTAATAAAACCTAAATTATGGTTTTATTTTAAATATTTAGTGAGACACTGTATATAAACAAATATTTATATTTGCAAATTGTTTGGTACTTCAATAAAATATTAATTCAGATTCTGCATATAATTCTAAAAGTCTAGATTTAATGTTGGAAATTTTATTAATATGCCATTGGGCTTTTCTGAATGATATACAAAAAGCACTTCAATTAATTGGATTCTCCCCCCCACCTTAAAGCTCTTGATTCTTTGCATGCTTCCAAAATATTTAAGCTATAGAGTAAACCCTAAAATGAACATCAGTAAACCTATGCCTTTATAGTCAAGTAATGTTTGACAAAGGGGGCAAGAACATAAAATGGAGTAAAGACAGTCTCTTCAATAAATGCTGTTGGGAAAATTGGACAGATACATGCAAAAAAATTAACCTAGACCACCAACTTACATCATACATAAGAATAAACTCAAAATGAATTAAAGACTTAAATGTAAGTTGTGAAACCATAAAATTCCTAGAGGAAAACATAGGCAGCAAAATTTCAGGCATTTCTCCTAGCAATAATTTTGCAGATATATCTCTTTGGGCAAAGGAAAAAAAGAGAAAGTAAGCAAATGGGACTACATCACACAAAAAAGTTTTTTCACAGCAAAAGTAATAATCAACAAAGTGAAAAGGGAACCCATTGAATGGGAGAACATATTTGCCAATGACACATTTGATAATGGGTTAATTTCCAAAATATATAAAGAACTTCTACTCAACATCCAATTAAAAACAAATGGGCAAAGGATCTGAATGGACACTTCTGCAAAGAGGACATAAAAATGGCCAATAGACATATGAAGAAATCACATAGCTAATCATCAGAGAGATGCAAACTGAAATCACAGTGAGCCTTTTCACTCAAAATGGTTATCATCAATAAATCAACAATAAGTGCTGGTGAGGATGTGGAGAAAAGGGAATCCTTGTACATTGTTGGTGGGAAGGCAGATTGCTGCAGGCACTATGAAAAGCAGTATGGAGTTTCCTCTTTTGACCCAGTGATCCACTTCTGGATATTATGTAGGTAAAGTTATTTTGCCCTTATTATGTGCAAGGTCATATTCCGTGTAAATGCAAAAATGAATCACTCAGAATCAGTTATTGTTGCTGTTAGCTAAACATTAAAAGTTAAGATAAACTTTGTCTAGAATTCCAGTAATCACCTTGCCTTTATAATCTCATACTTTAACAAAAAAAAAGAGCATGATGGTATGTTTGGTTGCCTATTATCAGTGAAAGATTATATCCTATGTCTATTTTTTTTAGAATATGAAAAATAAAAAAAAAGTTTATAGGCTTCTTCTCTCCAATGTTCTACCTGACCTAATTTATTTATGGTAGCTCTCATCTCAAGCACATTCTGTCTTGTATTAACCTGAAGACAGAGACATTATTGGCTTATCAACATTGATTCACTTACTAATATCTGTTCTTACTTTGTTCTAGGTCCAAGATGTTTTTGCTAGATCTTATTTTCCATTCTCTGTCTAAAATCATATGTCCTCCTGCAACATGCCATCAGAATGACAGCTTTTATTTATTTCCAACATTTAAAATTGAGGGCTAAAATTGATATTCTCTTCTGAACCTGATGGTCTAAGATACCAGCAGTGCTTGTGACCCTGGTCTTTCCTTTCTGTTCTGTGAAATTAAATGCCTTTGGTGGCCAACAAATGTGAAGAGACTAGATATAAAACATTGAAGAAAGGTGGAGTCTATGATAGATCTTAGACTATCATAGCTGTGTCCTCGGGGTACAGTGGATGGAGACCCGCAGGACCTCCAACATCACGCATATGTCTCTCTCACTGATGACATTGGAACTTCCACAAGGAAAGGGCTGAGCTTTATTCAACTTTGAAAAAGTCTCTTTGCAATAAAGTACCTTCCATAGTTTGTGCTTAGTAGATGGATATCAATTTGAGCTGAAAGAATAGTCTTTTAAAAAGGGGCATCACATCTGGTAAAATGGCTGGCATAACAGTTACTAAATATTAGAGAACACACAATAATTCTGGAAGTTTCTGTGAAAAGAGAAAATGAGATCATAGTACCATAGAACATTCAGCATGAAAGCTCCTCAGGTTTTGCTGGGTGGTGGGGGGAGGGTAGGGAGGGGGGGGATGCAAGTGTGAGTCAGAGAAGTCATCATCTAGGCTCTACCCCCCACTCTCTGTACCTGTTACCAAGAGGTTAACATTGACAGGGACCTTAAGGGGCCTTTGTGGGACAGGTTTCCTCCCTCTAAGTGGGGTAGCCCACAACACTAGTAGTAACTGTCAAGTCACAACACAGAAGCTGCACCTCAGTGGCCAAGGGCACATCCAAACAACTTTGCTACTTGCAGCCCCCTGGTCTCATCTGCCACTTCTGGCATTTAAATGAAACCAGACTAAAGTGTTCCATGGACCTCCTAATGAGAAAGGGCCAGTAAAGACATTTTAGGAGCCACTAGGACTATGCCATCCTTATTTTGGAGGTCAGAGTCCAGGATTACTGCTAAGCAGGAAGATATAAGGTAGCTCCAGACTAGAGGATTTAGAAGCCAACCCATAGAAGAAAGAATAAAAAGACCCCAGCAGGCATTATCTGCCCTTTAAACTATCTGCTATGATAAATTAGTGTTTCTTGCCAGGGAGGAGGCAAGATGAGTAGACAAGCTAGGGACTTAGCCAGGAAAGAAGGCCTCTGGTCTCAGCTCTACCATTTCCTGCCAAATAACCCAGGAAGTAGTGGACTGAGAATTCAAACCCTGGCCTGAGGGTCTCCCATCTCTTCATTCACATCGTTCTACACTCAGTAAATACATGGGAAACTGGAGGTGGGTGTGTCAGGAAGAAGGAAAGGGTAGACTTTGGGAAATCAAGGCTTCTCGGAGACCTTATAGCTGATTGAAAACATTGCATCAAGATCAGGCTGTTTCCCTGTTCAACAATTTTAAAGGATTTGTTTTAGATTCAGGAAAATCTGAAAATAAATGTTGCATCTCTAATTTTATAGACTTGGGGTATTCTTAAATTCTCAGCCTTAGTATTCTCATTGTGAAAGAGAGACTAATTTATTTAATTCATTTAATAAGGGAATATATAATATGCCTTGCTGAGAAACTTGAGATGAGTAGATAACTATTTCTGCATTCCTGGAATGTATACTAACTTATTATTATGTGTTCTTTTTTGGCGACTAAGTTAATTCAATTTGCTACTTTTTATTTAATATGTTTTTTTTTATAAACATAAGAGAACAGCCGAAACCGGTTTGGCTCAATGGATAGAGCGTCAGCCTGGGGACTGAAGGGTCCCAGGTTCGATTCCGGTCAAGGGCATGTACCTGGGTTGCGAGCACATCCCCAGTAGGAGATGTGCAGGAGGCAGCTGATTGATGTTTCTCTCTCATCGATGTTTCTAACTCTCTCTCTCCCTTCCTCTCTGTAAAAATCAATAAAATATATTAAAAAAAAAAAGAGAGAACAGTGATATTTCAATGTCAGAAAATTTTTCAAAACATTAAAGCAGACAATTAGTGGATGCTGAAAAGCATTTGGGTAGGATTCATTAAGTACACTTATTAAAAAATAAAAGAAATATAAATGACTATTTAAATGGTTATAAAATTTACACAAAGATATAAGAAGTCAACATCATTCTAACAGGTAAAAATATTAATGGCCACTTTTTATTAAAAATGGAGAAAACAAGAATTTGAAATGGGTCACTTTTCCCTCCTTAATCTTTCATAAATGGGTTGAGAACCCAAGGAATTCTTTTAAATTATATTTGAAATAATGGGCCATGAATAATTACAAGAAAAAGCACCAATCACCTATTTTTACTTACGGTTAGCTGGATATAAATAAAATCCCCAAAAGTAAAAAAACAAAACTACTATAATGCATATGATAATTGGTAAAGTAGCTATCAATTCAAGATAAAAATGTATTTCTCTATTCAGCAAGATGTATGTGGAAACAGAAATGGGGAAATATTTTATTTATAATAGCAATAAAATTATACACTTAAAAACTACTTGGAAATAAATTTAATTAAAACTAATAATTTTATTAAAAATGTAAAAAAGCTGTTACTAGGTGAAACATCAATCATATATTATTGGATGTAAAAACTTATTAACAAATGTTGATTCTCTTAGATTTAATCTATAAAAACAATGTGGTTTCTCTTAGTATTCCAAAGCTCTTATTTGTTTTGTGAGAGAAGGATCACTATACCACATATTAACAAAATCATACTATGTGGCTACTGTAATAGCTCAGTGATAAGTGATCATATATATGACACATTAAAAGATCTGTAAAGCAATGTACACAAACAGACAGACACACATATTGTAAGAAATGGCATTCACACATAGTATTTTATTTCAGTGAGAAAGAGAATGTATTTAATAGATGGTTTTGCCACTAGTACACATTGACTTTGATTAATATAAGTTTGGACTTCTGACACAGAAAAATCTAAAATTAAAACTATTTCAACAACTTTAGAAAAAAAGCATAAAAGAGTATATGTAAAACAAAGGACTCAAAGATACATTTTTAGAAGCAAAATATAAAACAACAAAATTATAAAAAAAAATAAAAGTGGGTTTGATTATATAAAACTACCTATATTTGTTTGCAATTTAATTGCCTAAACAAGGCCAAAGATAAACATTATATTGGTAAAGGCATAAAACCAGGATCTCTTGCAAATTTATATTTCACATATAAACAACAAAATAAAAACATGGATAAAGCTACTGATAAAGGGGACAAAATAATCAATAGACATGTGAAAG